AGATTTAATCTGCTCTGAAGATATGCAGGGGAACAGATAAGAGACATTGAGATGCTCAGCCAGTGAAGAAGTAATGAGCAGTGGTGGGGGGAGGGTAGTCAGAGGGTGGAGTGGAGAAGCAGGGATCAAGAACAGTACAGGGTACAGTGTGGTTGTGTTTTCAAGAGGATAGAATGTGTCAAGACCAACCGTTTTCTGAGCTGACCCTGATCCTCAGGGGTCCCTGTCCTGCCTCCACACAGTCCCCACTCTGCCCATCTAATATATTCCCCAGTGGGCTACACTCTCCTGCTCAAGACCCTTCCCTGGCTCTCTATGACTCTGACTACAAGCCACAGACTCATGGTGGGGTTGCGGGGAGGCGACGGCTAGGGCGGGTATTCTCAGGAGTCCCGAAAGGTCTCTATCAGAATATTTTTTAATGCTGTGTTTTCATTGTGAGTAGACTCTAAAAAGAGTATTTTCTGGATCACCAAAAGCTCACTTGGTGACCAAATTCACAACTGGGAATTTAGGGCCAGGATGGGAGACCCAGTCTGAAGAAGGAAGAACTCTGGAAGCCTTATCAAGAACTGGTGTGTCCTGACCACACAGCCCAGGGCTGGCCCCAATGCAAACAATGGCATCTCAGTGATCAGAATAGAGAAAACTGACAGGAGAGTGTGACCATGTATTAATTAAGTACCATATACTTGCCAAAGCCACACTTGGGGCTTTCCATACATCCTCAGTCTTCACACCAACCTTACTAGGTAGGCATTACCATCAGGCTCCTTTTACAGATGGAGACGTTGAGGCTTATTATCCAGAATCACATGACTCAGGCTAGGCAGGCACCAGTATCCCTGTGCTTCCCACACACCTGGCTGGGCCTTAACTCCACTGTCACTCCACACTTCAGAGCCCTCTCCCCATATTTCTGGCCATTCCTGGGGACTAAATGACAGCAGAGAGAGTTAGGCTATCCCTAATTCACAGATGAAGAAACTGAGGGCCCAAGAGATGAGCTGACCTGACGCCAACAGGGTCTACCTCAAGGCAAACGCCTCCTGTGCCTACAAGCAGCCATCCGCTCCCCAGGCACATGGGTGCTCATTGGCCTCTACCCTGTTGGCCAGGCCAAGACTCCCAGCATCCCCCAGCCCCAGGCAGGCAGGCAACACCACTTCCTCGCCAGCACTGTAACTTGGGCGGGGTCACTCTGGCTTACAATACAGCCCCCTACAAAAAGCCAGTCTCCCCACCCTTGAGGAAGGAAATAACCTTTCCCCAAACCAGCACTTTCATTGCAACACTCTCCATACATGAGAAGACAGAGTCATTTTTGCAGTGTTTCCAAATTCCAATAACTGTGAGGACAATGGTGCAAAATGACACATGGCTTGGCCTGAGAGGAGCCTTGGAAAGAGACCAGCCTAGAGAAGGTGAATTAATGGTGTGTGCGTGCCAGTGGTACCCTGTAATCAAGAGGCAGCCTGCCAGGACAGAACCTGGAGGTGGACAGACCTGGCTCCAGCTCTTCCTCCTCCCAACTTCCCCTCCAACCCACCTCTCCAAGAAAAGCTGGGTTTTCTTCTGTCCCTGTGTCTCCCTCACCCCTCTACCTTCACATCACAGTGCCAGCAGCAGTCCTCCAGGAAGCCCTCCCTGCTGACCACCCCAGCTTTGGCTGGATGCCTTCCTGGCTCTCAGAGCCTCTGTGCTCTACTCCAGGACAGCCCTGACCAAACAATTTCAGAACTGCCTGTGTGAGTCTCTGGGGCCCTCAAGATGGCCATGGGAGGGACCATGGGATGGCTCATACTAGAGTCCACGGCTAGCGCTGCGTGTGAGAGAGAGAACCCAAAGCCTTGGTCACACATGCCTGGCATGGATGTCCAGAGAGCCACTAAGCAAAAACCTCAACTACACAAACCTCTCCCTGGCTGCTCCCAACAACTCCTGGTCAGGGATGCTGACCCTTCTGGAGGAAGGCCACAACTCCCCACTGTCCAGTAAGGCCTGGCTATAAGTCCCAGCCTGATCCTCCAAGCCAGCTGTGCTGTGGGAAAGCTTTAAAATCTCAGTCAGACCTCCCACTCCCGAAATTGAACCCTCATCACATCCAGAATAAAATCAAAACCCCAGACTCGGCCTGCCCCCGGACCACTCTCCTTGCTCACAGGTGTCCTGTCCTCCAGCTGCTCCCCATCATTTACACCTGCTGTGTCCTCTGCCCTAATGTCTACACTGCACCCAGGATCTGACACTCTCCCTAAAATAGCCCTACCCCCACTCCCAGCCTCAGACCGTTTGACTTGGCTTGTCTGCTCTTCCTTGCAGGCACAGCCAGCACAGCACACCACAGCGAGCAACCATTTGTCTCCCATATACATTACCCACCAGGGAGCAAGCTCTGTGGGGGCAGAGGAGTTGCCTTTATCACTGCTTTGTTCCCAGCATTCAGAACAGTGACCAGCACCCAGAAGGTGCTCAATAAATCTCTGCTGAATGAGTGGTCTCATACCTCATTCCAACAATCTTAAGAGATATAGGTTATGGTACCCATTTTACAGATGAGGGAGGCTGAGGTTTAGAGGGGTGAGTCACTGGCCTGAAGAGAGCACAATCTATGAGTGGCAGAGCTGGAATATGAACTTGGTAGGATGCCAAAATGGGGACTTCCCTGTACCCACTGATCTCTGCTTCAGCCTCCATGGGGTCTGGACCTGTCGCTAGTCTCCCAGTCAGTAATCTGTGGAAACAGACTCAAAACAGAATGATAAGTGCTGTGGCGCCCTCCCCAGAAGGAGCCAGCAACCAAACCACCAGGCGAAACACACATAAGAAAAGGGGGAGAGAGAAATGGTGTTTTCTTTTGTCCATTTTGCCAAACTTTGTAAAAAAAAGTGACTTTGAAACCATCTAATTTTAATCGCAGTGGAAACTTTTGTATACCAAGCCAGAAAGAAGTCAGTGTGTTCCACTACAAGGTCAGTAAAGCAGGGAATTTAAAAACCATCCTTAAACATTTCCACTTAAAACTCAAAAATGAACAGTCACTCACCAACTGCCCAGCTGCTTTTGAATTTAGTGTAATGTTTTAAACAGGCAATACAATCACATGGTTCAACAACCAGAAAATATAAAAAGGTACACTGAGAAGTGTCACCTCATTCTTACACCCTTGTCCGCTGCCTCCCTAGGCAACCACAGGTAACCATAGGTAACCACCGTAAGATACAATCTTGGTGTCTTCTCTCAGTTTGTTTATGCACATCCAAGTAAATGTGAATTTCTATTTCTCATTTTACATAAGAGGTAGCATGCTTTACATACCATTCAGCACCTTATTTTACTCTCTTAGTAGATCCTAGAGATCTTTACAGAAAGAGCATTCCCATTTTTCATAGCTGCAATAATGTTTCATTGTAAGGCTGCACCCGCATCTATTTACGCAGGGTGTGTTACGCTGGATCTCAAATGTCTGTTGGCAGGTCCCCCACCTGCCATTTTAAGAATGAGAACTGCCCCCACACAGAATCTGGCACAGGGCTGGCTCTAATGAACAGTTATGAGGCAGCTCACCAACATCCTCTCCATGAAGGCACAAAGTCTCTTGATCTTGCAGCTAGGGAAGGTGTCTTAAAACAGAAATCGATTCTCATCATTCCCTGGCTCAAAACTTCATAGCAGCTTTCTATCTCCCTACACCTGGCCCCTCTCTGCCATCCCTCATCTACTCTAGCCTCCTCCTACTCTGTCCCTCACACATACCAAGCAGGGTCTCGCCTCAGGCCCTTTACACTAGCTATGCCCTCTGTTGCACATTCTCCCTCACCACTCTGGTCTCAGCTCAGAATTGCCCTTCTCAAAGGGACCTTCCTTGCCCATCCGACTTTGGTTGCCCTGCTGGCTTAAGCTCATTTACAGCATCTATGCCTGTGGGAAATCAACTTCATTCATTCCTTTGTTGACCGATTTACGTCACCTCTGCCCTTCCAACTAGAATATAAACTGCATGAGAGCAAAGACAGTGTCTGTGTTGCCCACCATGAGCTCTCTACCCAGACTATGTCTAGTTTCATGTGACTTCCACTCTCAGTCCAGGACAGCCAGGCTCCTGCAGCAGCTCCTGCCTATTACAATTAGTCTTGATGGCCCTCAAGGAGGTCGTAGGCTGGCAGACCACAGCACTGAGAATCCTGTCACAGGCTGAAACTACATCCCAGGGCAAGGCCTTCAGCTGGGGGTGCCCAAGAGTTCAGAAAGCCAGAAAAGAGGACTATACCCAACTGCCTTCTGGCCAGCAGACCCCAGGATTCTATCCCCATCTCTCCTCTAAAGGACCATGAGCACTGATAAACCATCAGACATTACCTACGTTACAAGAGGGAAGACTAAGGCCCAGAAAAGAGAGGGACAGGCCCTCTGTACCACCTTATGCAGTCAGGTCCAGCACCTGCCTCCCCAGCAGAAAATTAAACCTTCAGGAGGTACAAGGAAAAGGCTGGGCACTGTCTACCATTTCCAAGTTCCATGTGCCACTGAGGACTGGTCCTCAGTCAGTCAACAAACTTCCAGGAGGCCACATATCATGGTGGCCCTTAGCTTACATTAATTCAGCCACATGCACATGGCAAACAAGAGAGCAGAGAGTCATGGGAACTAGGACTTAAAATAACTCAGCAGCTGCCCTACTCCATGCCACCCATCAGAGTGCAAGCCAGCCAGGAGGTGAGAGCCACCCCTCCTCTGCCTGAGTCCCTCCTTATAAGGCATCTCATCCACCAGGGCCTACCAGGGGTTTAAGAGAAAAATGCTCATACCTACAGCCCTGAAAAATAGGGCAAACATTGAATCTGATGTCCAGTAGGACACACCACAATGCCCCCGAGGCCATGCAGACTCAAGAGACATCTCCACCCTGGTGGACACAGGATCACACTGAACTTGACCATCAAGACCAGAGCAGGAAACTGACTGGGCTTTCAGGCTAATTCAAAGAAACCTTTGTGGTCATGTAGGCCATGTGAGAGCTTCATCTTAGGCCCTGAATTTAGCTCCACCTTGACCTCTTCAGAGAATGCAGCTTCACTTCTCTCAGTTGTTCCACAAGTACATATTAAGTACCTACTGTGTGTCACATGTGGACCTGATTCATGAAATTTGCTGAGGGTCAATGAGACCAAGTCCTTCAACTCATGGATGCACTTAGCAGGAACAAAGAGCATGGCTTTAGGGTCAGGAAAACCTCAGCTGAAATCCCAGCTCTACCCTTTGCTTGTTAGGAGACCCTTTCTGAGCCTCAGTTTCCCCATCTTTCAAGTGGGGGTAAGAATGCGACCTTGCAGGACTGTTGAGAAGATCTGGAAAGAAAAGCAATGGATGAGGCCTTACTCTGAGATCACTTCCTTCCTCTCATGGGGCCCCAGGCCACTGTCTCCTACAATCCAGCAGAAAGTACCTGCCAACCATCACAGAATGCCCTGAGGTTCAGGCCCCTGGCATGCCCTTCAATGCTCTAATGACTAAGGACTTGAACAGTAGGAGGCTCACTCAAAGCTTCCCAGCCAGGCATGAAGGGACTAGCCTATGCCCACTTTGGGCATACAGCAAAAACCGTCCTGTCTATATAGTAGGCATAACCAACGTAGAGGCCTATGCAGGCCAGGCAGGAGCCAAGAATGTGCAAGCAGGCTGGGTGGGGAATGTGGTCAAATGGTGTTCCTGCTCCACTCCCAGTGGCAGCAGGCAGGCAGCACCAGCCAATGGGCATCATGAAGAGATGTGGACTCCGAGGTGCCAGACCTTGTGATTTTTCAAGAGAAGATGGAAATCCGGACTTTTATGTAAAACCTGCCAATTTGTAAATGCTGGCAACTAATTACATTTTCAAAAATAATAATAACATGGTAAGAGCCAAACAAAACATGCAAGGCCAGCCACAACCAGAGCTGGCAGGTTTGCACCAAAGAAACAAGATTCCTTGACTTCATTTATCCCCTGCCCACTCCCTGATCACACAGCTTTGGACACAGGAGAGAAGGGATCAGTGAGGACAACAGTTCCCAGACCCTCCCTTCCTTCTGGTGGAGATCGTCACCCTCAATTTGCATGTGAGGCCCAGAGACCCAATTATTCAGCCACAAACACCAGCCAGTGCCAGGACCATCCACTGAGGCTCGCTTATTCAAGGGCTCTAGATGATAACCAGCACCCAAATCTTTTTTCTTTTCTGGACTGTCATGGTCACATCTGCTGGCTCAGACCAGCTTTGGACCAGTCCAAGTGGCTGTCACAAGTAAAGTGTCAGTAAAGAAGGGAGGGAAGGCACCCCTCCTTAGGAGAGGTGGGAGGGAGAGAAGGTGAGGCGGCGATGAGGAGTGGGGAGGCTGGCAGAGTCAGGCACACCCCTGCAGACTAAGCCCCTTCCCTGTGCTCCCCACAGCCACCCAGACCCAACCTTAAGGAAGCCTCATCCAAGAGCCTTCCCCTACCCTGAAACCTACCTCACTCGGGATAGCCCCAGCACTGTGCCCATGGAGGCGGGACGTGTGAAGAAACGCCTGGGACCATCAAGTTGTTAGCGTATGTGACTGTGTGCAAGATTCACGGGACTGTTTGTGATACCAGGTATGTGACATGTGAGGGGCATGCTTGATAGACATGTGTGGCAGACATGAATGTATGTTAGAGCTGCACACTCATTTAACAGAAACATAACCTTTTGATAAAGAGGCACATATGTCTGGAAGACGTCCGTGTGCAAGGCACGTGTGTATGAAGCATGTGTGAACAAAAGATCCAAGTGTGAGAAGCCCAAATGTGTAAGAGAGACTTGGGGGGAGGTGTGTTCTAAGCGTTGGACTAAGATACCAGGAGAATGCGGTGACAGAGATAGCGGCGGGTGTGCCCACGCTGAGTGTGCAGGAACTTCTGCTGGTGTATGGCAGTGAGTGTGACTCGGTGGGAGGCTGAGGATCTGTGCAGGCGGGGGTGGTGCCTGACCTAGGATTCCAGTCTTCCCTTCTACGGAAGGGGATGGTGGGGGTGGAGGTGACCGGGCCTCGCGACCGAGGGGCAATAGAGAAGCAGTGGAACAAGGGGGGAGGGGTAGGCGGTGACCGGAGAGACTGCAGCGGAGAGAGAGGGGCGACGGAACCTGGAGGGCGGGGGTACCTGCCCGCGAAGCCCTAGTCCTCCACAAGGCGCCAGCCTCAGCGCCCGCATTTCTCCAATGGGCCCAGAGGGTTGCGCTCGGGCGCCATCCTCGCGGCTGGGACAGGGACGCGGGGCGCGCGTCCGTGGGGCC